GGCATGGCTCCTGAGGCAGGGGGATCCCACAGAGAAAGGGGGTCCCCAGGGAGAAGGGGGGTCCCCTCAAGTGGGGTCTCCAGCAGAAGGAGGTCCCCAAGTAAAATGGGTCCCCAAAGTGGGACAGTCCACAGGGAGGGGAGCCTGCCATGGATAATGGTCCCCAAGGGCGGGTTTCCAAAGGGATGAAGTATCCCAAGGGCAGGGAGGGGTTGCCAGGGGCAGGGGGTCTCAAGGAAAGGAGGTCCCCGTGGGGAGGAGGTTCAGCAAGGGAAGGGGCCCAGCAGAGAAGGGGCTGCAGGGCCCTGGGCCCCCCCAGGACACGAGTCCTCACCCCAAACCCCGGGCGAGAGGGAGAGGCCTCGGATTGCACCAGGGACAGTTTAGTTGGATATTTAGGGAAATTTCTCCATGGAAAGGGTTGTCCAGCCCTGGCACAGCTGCCCAGGGCAGTGGTGGAGTCCCCATCCCTGGAGGGAGTTAAGATCCATGTGGATGTGGCACTTGGGGACGCGGGGCAGTGGTGGCCTTGGAATGGTTGGACTCGATGGGTCTTGGAGGTGTTTTCCAACCTAAAGAATTCCTTGATCCTGTGCAAGAGAAGGTCCTGTCCTGCTTAAGCTCCTGTCCCTCTCTCCTGGCAGGGAGATCTCAGCTGCACCTTCACCTACTCGGCCCAGGGAGGGACCAACGAGGTGAGCGGGGCAAACCCTGCCCTCCCCCAGTCCCTGGGGCTGCAGGGAGGGAGGAGATGGTTTTCCTTTGGGAAGAGCTGATTCCAGGGACCAGCAGCTGTGAGGAAGGGTGGTTGCACCTTTTCCAGCACTGTTGGATTTGCTCCCTGCACCGAAGTGTCCTCTGTGTGTTGTAACAAGGCTGGGACAAGGGGCTGGAGGGACAGGACACAGGGAATGGCTTCCCACTGCCAGAGGGCAGGGATGGATGGGATATTGGGCAGGAATTCCCGGTGGGGAGGCCTGGCACAGGTTGCCCAAAGAAGCTGTGGCTACCCCATCCCTGGAAGTGTCCAAGGCCAGATTGGAGCAAGGTGGGATAGTGGGAGGTGTCCCTGCCCGTGGCAGGGGCTGGAATGGGATGAGATTTAAGATCCAACCCAAACCAGTCTGGGACTCTGTGACTTTACAAATCTCCGTGCTGGATGTCTCTGGAGAACTGGGAGTGACATTTCCATGGCCCAGCTGGTGGGAAGGACCTCTCAGGAGTAACTCCTGTCCCCTCTGGGAGGCTGGAAGGCTTTTTGTTTGTACTTTCCCAGCAGCAAGTCCTGTCTGAACCAGGCCCTGATTTTTCAGCCTAAAGGGAAGTGAGACTTTTAACTCTTCTCTGTGACAGCACTGATGGAATTGTGGAGAGCAGGGAGAGCCACCAGGCCCCGAGCTTGGTGCCAAAAGGGAGTGCTGTGTTATTTTAGGGCTGCTGGAGCTCATCCTGCAGCTGGAGGGGGGGTCAGTGGCCCCTGGGCCATGCAGGGAGCACGAGGCTCTTCCCCCCCAGTGACTCTTTGGACATTTCCCTCCTCAGCAATGGCAGATGAACGTTGGGATCAGCGAAGACGACGGGCTCTTCTCCTGCTCCATCTGGAGGTGCGTTCAGTAACCTCAGCCAAGCCAACCCCAGGCAGGGGGGATGTGGGACAGGGACCCTCTGCTGGGGTCAGGACGCTGCTTCCCAGATGGATTTGCCTCCCAGCGGGGAGGGTTTTCCTCTCCTAAAAGGTGCTGTGGCTCTCTGGGTTCTTCAGCCAGTGCTGGTTCATAAATTGTGTCCCCTTGTCCCACCCTCTGCGCTGGATGGAGCTGCAGGAGATCCAGAGGTGGCTGTGGAGGGAGGGAGGGAGCTGGGAATCCCTCACTCCTCTGCACCTCCACCCTCTCTGCTGCTGACAAAGGCTCTGCTTTCTTGTTTCAGGCCCCAGGGGAAGTCTTATCTCTTCTTTACCCAGTTTAAAGCTGAAGTGAAAGGAGCCAAGATAGAGCATGCCATGGCTTATGTAAGTCCCAGCTGATCCCTTGGAAGCAGCAGTGTGGGAGGCTGCTGTAAAACACGAATTAGGCAGGGAAAACATTTATTAGACATCTGTGCAGTGGAATGTGCTCCACCACGTCCCCAATTAGAGACTGGTGGCAGGCAGGAGAGGGGGCTGCAGGTGGGCTCCCCTGCACCACTGGGCTTCTGCCCCCTCAAATCCATGGGTTTGCTGGGAAGGGGAGGGCTCCAAAAGGCGGGAGTCTTGGATTGCCTCAACAAATTGCACGTGGCAAAGTAAATAAAAACCTCTCTGGGTGTTCTTGTCTGGCTCATCCCTCCATTTCCCAGCCTTTAGGGGTGAGGTTTTCAATCACCCCAAGGACACCAGTCTGTGCCTTAATAAGAAGTGGGAAAAACAGGCAGAGATTTTCCTTCAGATTTCCTTTGTGGACTTAATTCCTTCGCTCCACACAACTCACGAATTCATCCTTTTTTTTTTAATTTTTCTTTATTTTTTTCCGTTTGTTCGGTCTAAATACTGTAACCCCTCGGATTGCCTCAAACCCTCTCACACCTTCTTCCTTCCTGTTTCAGTCTCAAGCTGCTGTGGGTGCCCAGAACGACATCCCCTTGAAACAGGAAGAGTTTGAAATCACTGAAACAACAGGTCTGTGACCCGAGAGAGCTGGGTGAGAAAGGAGAGGCGGTGTGGGAGTTCAAGCTTAAATCCTGTCCATTTGTATTTACAATGGATGGAAAGACAGGGGCAGGGGGTGCAGGGCCCTGGAGCCACCACTGGCAGCAGGAGTTTGGGGGTCCCTTTCCAGCTCAGGGAGCTGCAGGAAGGAGGGTTTGTCCCACCAGCCCGTCACGTGCAGGAGGAGGAAGTTCAATGCCCCACTCGCTGCCTTTTCCCCACCCTGGAAGGGACCCAGCAGGGCTGTTGTGGTCGTGCCTCTGTGCTTTTTTTGGGGTTGTTTTGGTCGTGCTTTCCCATCTGTTGATCCTGTGCTTGTTCTCTCTCTCCCTCCAGTGTCTCACAGGGAAGGAAAGTTCCGTTTTGAACTCTCCAAGCTCACCATCGTAGCAAAATCACCCCGTGACGAGCTGTGACCCCCCCCCCCAGGCCAGTCCTGGCCCCAGGAAGAAAACATGGCAGGAAAAGAGGATTCCTGGTTTAACTGAGGGTGGTGGTTTCTTTTTTTTTTTTTTTTTTGCTTTCTGGGATGGCCAAACTTTTCTGGTTTTTTTTCCATGCTGAAACGTGCCGGGGTCCAACACCAAGCGGGGTTTTGGAGGTGTGTGAGGACGCATTTCGTTCTGCCTGGTGTCAGGGTGACAGCGTGCTCTGCAACTGGAAACCTCCTGGGAGGTTCCTGATCCACAGGAACCCCATTCTGGGCCCTCTTTGTGCCTGCCTGATCTGCTGGCACGTGGCAGGGAGTGGGGGGAGTTCCTTATCTGCCTGGCTGGGAAGAGCAGTGCAGGAAGATAAGGGGCAGGATTTCAGCAGGGTTTGCTGAAGGGAAGTCATTAACTCTGGAGCCTCTGGAGGGGAAGATGGGATTTCTCCTTCCACCAGCGTGGCAGGAGGAAATAATTAATTTAGGACTCCTTATTGAGAGATCATCCCCGGGGTGGATGGCCTGGACCTGCCAGAGCTGGGTTGGGATGACTTGGAGAGGTGGGGGAAAAGGCAGAGCAGCTTATTCTGACACGAGCAGGAACCAACCCAAGCAATGCTTGCACGTCTCAGCACAACCACAGGACTGTTTTATACCTACCAGAAAAGTGATTTTTTTTTTTCCCTTTTCTTATCTAGAGTAATAACAGGGAAAGTGCAATTCCTTTCCTGTGTAAATACAGCACAAATAAAGCAAGGAAGCATCGTGCTCTGGCCTGGGGGTCGCTCTGCTCTGTCGCTCCTGCCCTTCCCCAGCTGGAGGGACCTTCCAGGGTTTGCTCGGCCAGGAGGAGCCCACGGGAATTTTGGGGGGCTGCAGAGGGTTTGGGGGGGTTCTGCCCAGCCAAAGAGAGCCCCAGCAAAGGGACTCATTTCCCAGGGTTGGGGTGGGACACCCAGGCTGTGAGATGGCTCTTCTGGCAGAGAGTCAGCCCTCCAGGGCTTCCCTGGGCCAAAAAGGGAAGAATTTGGGGGTGAGGTGGGTGTTTGCTGTGGGGAAGAAGGCTCAGCTTAGACACCTGGATGTGAAGGAGTTTGGGTGGGGTAAGTGTGGGCTGTAGGAAACGATGGGGACAAAGGGAACAGCCACGAGTGGGGCTCGTGTGGCCGAGGAGCATCTTGCAGCTGGCACCAAAACACACCCCAAGGAGAGAACAGCGAGGCATTTCTGGCTGCCAGTGCGTCCCCTCTCACCACACCTGCCCGTGATTTCCAGTCTGGCTCCTCTCCAGCAAACACCTGACAGCTGCCACCAGCCCAGGGGGCACGGGAATTGTTCTCAGAGGCCACTTTTCCCCTGGTGCCGACACCCAGGTGGGTCCTCCACACCCCGCTGTGAATGTGCTTTGCCCCCACCTCGAGCCGTGCCACACAATTATCTGTGACTGCTGGAGCCAGGGCTGTGAAATGACAGAGACAGGGGCTCGGTTCCTTTTTTTATTTAATCTCCTCAGGCTGAAAGTTATCAGTGCCTCGAGCCAGCGGTGTGGAGGGAGCCGCTCTCTGCCCACCAGCTCTGGCCCGTGCCCCGACACATCCCATGGAACAGCAGGCACAAGGAGGTCATGGAGATAAGGCCAGCTGAGATTGTGTGGTGCCTGGGGTGCTCAAAGGGCAGTTTTCAGTGTTCAGAGCAGAGATGATCGTGCCGGGAGCGGAGGCAGCTCCGAGAGCTCCGTCCCTTGTCCCAGTTCCCTCTCCAGCTCTCCTGGAGCCCCTTCAGGCCCTGGAAGGGGCTCTGAGGTCTCCCTGGATCCTTCTGCAGGCTGAACAACCACAATTCTCTGCTTCTCCCAGGATCCCAGACCTTTGTTGCTGGTTTATGCTGGATTTAACACCCTGTTTGTTCCACTGGTTCAGCTCTGGCCGTGCTGTGCCACGGAGCAGGGACAGCCCAGCCAGCAGCGATGCCAGGGGGCCAAGGGAGTACAAACCCCAGGCCACAGAGAGCCATCACCATCTAAAGGACAAACCCAGCTGTCCCCAGGGCTCGTTTTATCTCTGTCACCCACCCCTGGAACAACCGCACGGAGCTCCCAGGCCAAACGGGTGAGTTTATTTAAATAACTCGTCAGGGCTACAGAGTTTGCTAAAAAAGAACCACCATCACTCAGACAACGTGGAAAAGGGATAGAATCCCACGGAGAACTTTGGAGAACCACCGAGGGCGGCGTCGGAGCCATGACAGTGGTACCATCACCGGAGCTGGTGGGGAGGTGGGGGTTGGATGGTACCAGGGATGCAGGGAAGGAGCAGCTCCCTCATCCAGGTAAGGTGGGATCCTCCTGCTCTCAGGGACTTGTCTTTGAGGAGAGAGCAAAGCCCACACCTTCCCATCCTGGGCAGCACAAGCCTGGACCATGATTTGCTGTTATGGAGCTGCTGAAAGAAAACCCACGGAGCTCCACAACCCTCCAGGAATGGGAGTCTCACAACCAGCAATGTCCCACCTGCTCAAACACACCTTTCAGAGGGGTTACACCCCACCAGGCTTTGCTTTGGTTTTTTCACCCCCCCCCCCAGAGGGTTCTGACAAAATTCAAGGCTGAGAGTCTTTGGACTCTGAGCTAAGGACACTTGGTGAGCAAAGGAAATCAAACTGTACAGCAGGAGAACCCAAAACCCCGGGATGCCCCTGGAGAGGGCTCAACCCAGCACAGGGAGGGCTCTGCAGCCCCCGGGCAAGGGGTGGGCAAAGTCAAGATGTTCAGCCTTGCGTAGGAAGGAGGAGCAAACGAGTGAGCGAGCGCTGCAGGGGAGGAGGGGACGTCAGGGCAGGCAAACAGCCCAACCGCAGCCTCCCAGGAGGGCAGAGCCCCCTCAGATGTTGTCCTCCTCCAGCATCTTGTTGACCCCCTCGCAGATCCTCGTCAGGTGGGTGCGGTAGGGCTCGGAGGGCCCGTAGAGCGCCGACAGGAACTCGTAGTCCGCAAAGTGGTTGAAGACGTGGTTGATGCGGGAGTGGGACTTGGCCGTCAGGTGCCCGTTGACGGCCTGGTGCAGCAGGTCCCGGCACTCCAGCAGCACCCCCGACATGACCCTGCGGTCGAAGGTGAAGTCTATCTGGTGGAAGCTGACGGCCGTCATGGCCAGGGTGTGAACCTTCTTGCGGAACCGCTCCATCACCAGCAGCTCCTCGGGGCTGAACTGCCCGTTGCGGTACAGCACGCCCAGCTTCATCACGATCTTGATGAGGTTCTTGATGATCTTCTGGGCCTCCTTGCGGTTGTGGGTGTACTCCTTGGTGGCCCGGTACAGCTCGTCCAGGATCTCGCTGCTGGTGTCGTCGATGAAGACGTTGGCGATGGTTTTGGTGGCCATCTTGCTCAGGAGCTTCTTCTGGGCCTGCAGGGCCAGGTTCTTGGTGCTGAAGGTGTCCATCCCTGCGAGGGCAAGAGGCACAGGCAGGTCAGACCATGCCCTGTGTCCGTCCCCATCTCACCTGCAAGCTGGGCTGGTGGGAGGTGTCCCTGCCCGTGGCAGGGGGTGGAACAGGCCCGAGCTTTAAGGTGCCTTCCAACCCAAACCATTCCACGGTTCTATCATTCCTCACCTTCCCACGCAGCCTTTTTGGCAGGAGAAAAAGCACCTCCAGCCAACAGCCAGACCGAGGCAGCTGCTGGGTGCCAGGGCGGGCGAGAGCCGAGCTCACACCCTGGGTTTGGATGGTGGGATGAGCTGTGGGGTGTTCCCACCTTCCTTCTCCCAAACCCTGTGGAGAACCTACGGCGAGCGACGAGTCCCTACCTGAGCACCGCCCGTGACCCTCCATCCCCGTCTCCCTCCTGCGCCGCTCCCGGGGCAGGAAGGGCTCTTCGCCCCATCCCTTCAACATTTTTCCTTCCTTAAACCCTGACTCATTTCCTGCGGGGTGAGCTGGGGACAGCCCAGGTGACAGCTGAGTCACCCCCACGGCCTCGTGCCGCATCCACCCCCGGCGCTCGGCGAGGCCGGAGCGGCACGGCCGGTTTGCAGCGCTCTCTGATTTGCGTGGGAGCCCTTTTTTTTTCCCCCTGGCACTGCCCTGATCCACCCACACGAGCTCGGGCTTGTTCTGCCTCCAGCGCCGGCACGAGCGTGGCGCGGAGGTGAATGATTCAGAGAGACACGGCCCTCACCTCCAGCCCCGCTCCCGCATCCCGGCGGGACCAAATCCATCACCTCGGGCAGATCAAAACCGCCGCGATGGAAACAAAAACGCTGCCCACCCTGGAGAGAACGCTGCCTTGGCCTGGGGAAACCGCAGAGCTACAAATCACGGGCAGGCGAGAACAGAGGGAGAAACAACCGGCTCTGGAGAGCCAGGATGGATGGGCAGAGCTGGGGCTGCGTATGCAAGAGGCTGCACATGGCATGGACGGCCCGGCAGGGCGGGAAGGGATGGGCTCAGGCTATAAATACATCCCCTGGCAGGGGAGAGGAGATATTTCAGCTAAAGGATGGGAGCTGCCGGTGTGAGGATGGATGGGGATAAATTGGCCGTGGAGAGAGAGCAGGTTTAGGTTGGATATTAAGGAGGAATCATTCCCTGGGAGGGTGGGCAGGCCCTGGCACAGGTTGGGCAGAGAAGCTGTGGCTGCCCCATCCCTGAGAGTGTCCAAGGCCAGGTTGGAGCAACCTGGGCTAGTGGGAGGTGTCCCTGCCCATGGCAGGGGTTGGAACAAGATGGGCTTTTATGTCCCTCCCAATCAAACCATTCTGGGATTCCAGTGCAGAACTGAGCCTGTCCCCGCCACAGGACGCTCCATGTGTTCCCCCAGGCCAAGCTGCCACCCAGTCCCAGACCCCTTTGGGGATCCCCAGTCCTGCTCCTCCCACTCTGGAGCACACACCAGGCTTTCAGGAGCAAATCCCAGCTTCCCATGGAGCCTCCAGCTCCCTGAACCCAAGGGCAGCCAAGGCTCTGTGGGGACGTGAATTGAATTACGGGAGCAGGGACGGAGCTGCCGCCGCCTGCAGGGTTATTTACGGCCCCTGAGAAAAAACAAGGAGCTTTGGAAGCGCTTCCTTCAGGAGGAAAGCATCGACTCGTGCCAGTGTGAGGCTCCTGCACCGGACAAGTCAAAAATGACAACACAGAGGTCGTGTGACAGCAGCTCTGAGCCCATCCAGTGCCAAGGCTGCGTCCAGGAGGTGCCGCCGGAGCTGAGCCTAGAGGGGCAGGTAGGGTGGGAAGAGCCAGCCTGGCTCCATCTTCTCTCCCTTGGCTCTCAGGGGACTTCCTCTGGCATCCTCTCCAGAAGGAGCAGAGCTTTGTCACCCTGAAGTCCCCTCCCTTGTGGCTGTGGGGTGCCCTGGGCTCCCCCGCCGGGAGCTGTGCCTGGATAAACAGGAATTCCCACAACTGCAGCCATAAAAGCAAAGTGCAAACTCCACCTCCAGAGCCCATCAAAAATAGGAAGTGCCATCTCCTGAGAGATGCCAACCGGAATAACGGATCAGCCCCTCCGCTCCCTGCAGCAAACACAGCCCCCTCCAGCTGGGAACCCGGGCAAGGAGCGATGCTCCCAGGGGGGAAACTGAGGCACGGAGGGGTCTCCAGAGACCCCAAAAGTGGTGTACGGGGACCCCAAAAACGCAACCAGCTCCTGTGAGCTGTCTCACGGCTCGCTCCCTGCACGCCCCGAGCAAAGCCAAAGCTCACCTCCTGCTGGCTCCCGCTCGGCACCGGGACGGTTCACCGGGCACCCTCCTGCACCACGCCGGGACCTGCTGAGTCAGCACCAGCGGGGAGATTTCACCGGAATGAGCCGCTTTCCTGCCGGGAAGGGCCCCGCGACCCCATTGTTCGCCGAGGGGCTGCTGTGGGCGCGCGGAAGAGGCCAAGTGTTGCCCCGAGGAGCAAACACGAGCCTGAAATAACCCACTTCGCTTCCTTCCTGTCGCTCAAGTTTCCAGCCCGGCTCAGGGCTTGGGTTCCCCCCACCACCACCAAACACACCCCCCCCCTTCTTCTTTTTCATGAAAACGCCCTCAAAAACAGCTTCTTCTTCCGAAAAGGAGCAGCCAGCCGGGTGTTGGTGTCACCGAGTCCCTCCCAGCTCCGGAAGAGCGCGGCGGGGCTGCGGTGCCGACGGCGGCTTCGGGGATGCTCACAGCCCTTTTTTGGGGGGGTTTCCACCCATTTTGGGGGTTGGGGGGGGTTGGAGGGGGGAGTTTTGCAGCCCTGAGCGGCGGGGTGGAGGTTGGGATGTCCTGTGGGTGTCCCTGCTGTGGGATGGGTGGGCTCCCCCGGGGGATGGGCTCGTGCCGTCGGTGGTTTGGTGTTCGCTGCACCTGGAGGGCACCCACAGTACCTCACCCAACACCTGGCTGCGACCCCGCCCCCCCAGGGACCCCCAAAAAACATCTCCCACACCACTTTGGGCACAAGCATCAATTAAACCTCGAGGGGAACACGAGACCCTGTCATGCTGCTGGCACTGGTGGCACCAGCACATGCCAAGGCAGAGCTGCCAAGTAAGCAGCAGCTGGAGCTCCTTAGGAAGAGGGGCCAAATTCAGCAGTGACACCATCCCAGTTATCATTTCTACCTGTCCCAAAGGTCCTTCACCCTGACTGTCTCCATCACCTGATTCCCACCAGCGGCACCCCCCCAAATTCCCCCAGTTCCCTTGGCAGCGGGTGAATATTTCATGCAGGAAAGGGAAAGCACTTCAATAATTTATGGAGCAGAGGGGGAGGCTCTGCAAAGCTCCAGCTCAGAGCAGAGGCACCTCTGCCTCCTCCTCCTTTTCCTCCTCCCCCTCCTCCTCCTCAGGGCCATAAGGAACTCATGGTGTCTTGCTGCAAGTTCCCTCCAACACGGGAACATCGTTTCCCAACCAGGATAAACATTTAATAGTGGAGATCTCCCCGGTTATCCCTCCATCCCATTTCCTCCCACGGATTCATAAAACACCCCTGGCTCTGCAACCCCAGCATTCCCATTCCCCCCAGAATCCTTGGCTAAGTGCCAGGGGGGTGGATGGAATCCTGCTCCGTCCCCTGGCATCGCTTTCCACCCACTCCAACCCCTGTTAATTAATTAATTAAACGCCGCCGTGCTGGATTACAGGGCCGGAGCGCCGGGAAGTAACCGGAGAGCCCCACCAGCCCGTCCCCCACCACCCGTGACCCCTCCAGCTCCCACAGCCCAGTTTTACCAGCGCTGGGAGAGCGGAGGAGGAGGAGGAGGGAGAGAGGAGGAGGGAGGGCGCGTGCAGGTTGCCATGGGTGCCGAGAGCAGCCGGAGCCGCGGGGCTGACACACACGGATCCGCCGCGTGTGTGCCCAGCGGGGTGAGGCCAGGGAGGAAGCCACTGAGTAAACACCTCTCCCGAGGCAGGACTCGGCTCTTGGCAATGCTGGGACAAACCCACGGCCGGAGCGAGGACAGGGAATGCCGCGGGGCATCGGCACGACCCGGCACGACCCCATCCCTGCCCTGCCCCTGACACCGCTGGCACGGGGAGCTGAGCTCCTCCACCATCCCAAAATCTCCTTCCCCAATAGATGCACCCACGGGAAGGAGGGAGAAGCTTTTTTTTTTTGGTTTTGCCTGGGAATGCCGATCCGCCCCGGCAGCTCAGACGTGTCTGTGCAAGGAGCCGGGCGGCCGATCCGAGGGGGCTCTGGCGATGCCAACCCCGGGCGTGGGTGGTGGTGAATCCAGCCGGCGCTTCCCGTGGGAATGGGATCCCGGCACATGGGGGAAGAGAGGTGGGAGGTGATCCTGGGGGGCTGATTTGAGGATCTGGTGGCGTATCAAGCAATTCCCCCCGGGATTACTGGGCCCCAGGGGGAGGCAGCTGCGGAATGGAGAGGAGGAAGAGGAGGAGGAAGAGGAGGAGGAGGTTGAGGAGGAGGAATGGGGGTTATTTTATGGACAGAATGGGGAGGAAGAAGAGGAGGAGGAATGGGGGTTATTTTATGGAGAGAAGGAAGAAGAGGAGGAGGAATGGGGCTTATTTTATGGAAAGAATGAGGAGGAAGAGGAGGAGGAAGGCGGGTTATTTCATGGAGAGGAGGAGGAGGAGGAGGAAGGGGGGGTTATTTTACAGAGAGGAGGAGGAGGAGGAGGAAGGGGGGGTTATTTTGAAGCATCTGTCTTGCCTTCCATTTCCTCCTTTTCTTTCTCCAGCTGCCATCAAGCTGCTCTTTCTGGCAGCAACTTCCTTTCTCCTTCGCTCAGAGCAGACGGAGACTTATGGGGAAGTAGAAAACAGAGGGTGGGAGAGGGGAAACTGAGGCCAAACCACCATCCTTCCGTCTGTCCGGCCCGCGGTGGGGGCCAGGGGGGGGCATCACATGCTTCCTACCCCGGGATCAGGAGGACAAAGTCGCTCCGGGAGGGAAGAAAACTCCACGGGACAATCAGGACTTGGGGTCAGCAAAGAATGTTTATGGCCCAGATCCTTCCCTGCTCCAGAGGGAGGTGGGTCAGAGTTGGGAAGTTTTGCACCAAACCCTTGCTCCGGGTGGGATCTGACCTCTCCAAAGGGATTAGTCTCTCCGGGAATGGAGGAATTTCATCCTCTGGAGGGCAGGGAGGGGAGGAGGGACTAGCAGTGCCCGAAGCCAAGTGCTGCCATGGGGCACCCGGCCCTGCCCTCGCACGTGGGGCTGGGATGGCCCCGTGACGGGGGTTCTGGTGCCTTCTCCCGTTAACCAGCACCCACCGGGCCCGGTGGCGTTTCCAGCCCCCCCCGGATTTCCGCTGGATTTGGGGGGAAATCGCCCTTTCCTCGTCTTTTATCCACCTGGGGAAACCGAGGCACGGCCCAGGGCTGCCGGGAACTGCGCCAGGCTCTGCCCACCCGGCAGCTCCCGCCCCTCGGGGCTTCCCAAACCCTCCTTTCCCCCCGGGGCTCTCAGGGGGCTGGGTGGGGACATCGGTGCCCGGTGACACCGGGGAGGGGGGACACACAGAAATGATTCCCGGGATTCGCCCCGCTTGCCCGTCCCGCAGCACGAAACGGGCCGGTACCGGGAACCCCCGACCCCATGGACCGGGGGAAACGGGGATACCGGGAGACTTCAGAGAGAACCGGGAGGTGCCGGGAGGTGCTGGGAGAGGGGGGGTTGATCTCGGTGGGTGAAAGAGCCCGGCCGGCCCTTACCTGCCTGCTCGGGGGACCGGGACCGGGACCGGGACCGGGGCTGCTCCGGTGCCCCCGGCGGGCCGGGCCGGGCCGGGCGGGGGATCCCGCTTCCCCCGGCGCCTCTCCCTGCCCGGCAGGGCCCCGCAGCCGGTACCGGTGATCCGATCCCAGTTCCCGGTGCCTGAAGCTGGTCCTCGGTGGAGGTGCCGGTGCCCTGTGTCGATGTCCGGTGCCTGGTCTTCGATGCCCGATGCCGGTTCCCTCTGCCAGTTCCCGGTGCCGATTCCCGGTGCCTGTCCCCGGTTCTCGGATGCCGGTGTCGGGTGCCGGTTCCCGGTCCCTATTCCCGGTTCCCGGGCCCTCCCGCCCGCGGTCGCTCCAAGTCCCGCGCGGTCCCGGGAGCGGCGGGGGCGGGAGGGGGGCGGGTGGGCGTGTCCCACGGGTGGCTCCAGCCAATGGCGGAGCGGGGCTTGCTACGAAGCAGCCAATGGGAGCGCTCGGACGGGGGTGTGGGCGGGGCTGGGGCGGGCGCGCCCCCGCGAGTCCCGCGCGTGGGACGGTCCCGTTATGGGGAGGGGGGAAAGAGACCCCCGGGGACACGGGTGATGGGGACGAGGTGGGGTGGGGGTATGGGTGGGTGATGGGGATGAGGGTGGATGAGGGAACACGGGCGGATGATGGACACGGGTGGGTGAGTGAACACGGGTGGGTGATGGGGACCTGAATGGGTGATGGGGACATGGGTGGAGAATGTGGATATGGGTGGGTGGCGGGGCACGGGTGAGTGGTGGGAACATGCGGGGGTGACGGGACACGGGTGGGTGGTGGGGACACAGGTGGATGACAGGGACGCTGTGCCAGGGCGCTTACGAGCAACAACTTAGGAGGGCGCTGGTAGACCGGGCTGAGCGAGGGCAGCACCCGGGGGTCTTGACACGTCCCTCCTCGTCTGGGGGGGTCCACGAGGGGATTTAACAGCCCTGGGAAGGAGTGAGACGGGGCGGGGCTGTCCCGCTGCCGACCGAGTGCTGTGTGTGGAGGAGGGTTTAGGTGGGGGAGTCGTGGCTCTCAGGTCATCCCTGTGCTGGAGACCCCCCTGATGCTACAATCCCACGGAGCCGTGCCCAGGTTTGCACCCCCACTGCGAGTTCTCTTCCTCCTCCTCCTCCTCCTCCTGACTCGGTGGGCAGGAGCCACGGCACACGATCCTAATACCCAAAGGTGGCATTAAACAGATTAAAGGTGGGATTTAGAGCGGCTTAAAGTCTGGATTAATGGGAGCCTTGACTTGAAGCTTGGTCTCACGCAGCGGCTGGGAAGCGAACCCCAGATCCTCACCAGCCCTCCCCCCAGCTCTGCTGCCCTCCACCCCACCCCACCCCACGGCAGTGCCCAACACCCCTGGGGCATCACCCCCACTCCTGCTATCCCCAAGGATTCGCTCCCGACCCCACGTTGTGCTGGAACAGCCGGAACAGCTGTTGTCGCTCTCCTGAACACTTGTGCCATCAGCCTGCTCGGAATAAATCACCCTGCGGGCTCATCCGGTCCCGCCGGCCCATGGCAGAGGTGTGAAAACAGCCATTAGCCAGGAATGGCGTGGAATGGGCTGGTGGGCTCAGGGAGACGCTGACGGATCCAGCGGAGGTGGTGAATAGAGCTCGAGAAGCGTTGGCAAAACATGGCAGATTCATGTTGGCAGGGCTGGTCCCCATCACTGGCTGGTCCTGTGTCCCCATCACCGCCTGGTCCTGTGTCCCCATCACCACCTGGTTCTGTGTCCCCATCACCGCCTGGTCCTGTGTCCCCATCACCACCTGGTTCTGTGTCCCCATCACTGCCTGGTCCTGTGTCTCCATCACCACCTGGTTCTGTGTCCCCATCACCGCCTGGTCCTGTGTCCCCCCTGCTGTCCTGTCCTCTGTCAGCATCACTTCCCCATCCCACCCCCCTATTCCTGTCCCATCCCTTGTCCCTGTTCTTGCCCTGTCCATGTCCCCATTCTTGCTCTGTCCTGTGCCCCCATCCCTGTCCCATCCCATGTCCCCATTCCCGTCCTACCCTGCACCCCCATCCCTGTCCCATCCCAAATCTCCATCACTGGGACAACCCTGCAGCTCTTTCACCTCTCTCAGGCCGTTGCTGAAGGTGCAGTGGAGGGTGACAGGGTGGGCATGTGGGGGGCACCCTGATGCCCCCAGGGCACTCCCGTGTGCCCACCACCCAGCACCCCAATTCCCATCTCCGGGACAATCTCTGGGATGTTCCCACGCCTCGCACAGCTCTGCACCTCACTCCAGCCCCAGAGCAGGACCCCAAACCCTCCTGGGGTCACTGCAGGGCCGGGGTCACACTGTGGGGACACCCCCCCCCCCCCCCCCCCAAATCCGTGAATGTTGCCCAAGTGGATGGAGCAGCCACTGCGGATCAGCGGGGATGGGAGATGGAGCTGGCGCCGCATGAGAACAGGGAATAAGAAAGAGAAGCAGCAGGATCTGGGCCAGCTCCGAGCGGCCTCTCCCCCGCCCCGTCCCTCCTCTCCTTTCAGGGAAATGAAACAGGGCCTTGCAGCGCCTCCTCTCCAACCCGCTAAGCATTGCCCATCCCCGGGGAGTCTCACGGCTAATCCCCTTCCCCGTCCCACGGTGCATCCCGCCTGGATACCCCTCACACCACCAGTAACACCAGTGGGGGCTGCTCCCCACCGGCCGGGCGTGGGGGGGCTCCGCTGGGATCAGAGGGGAGCATCCCCAGGGAGGCAGCGCCTGAATAATTCAGGAGAGCTCGGCGGGAGAAACAGGATCTGCTGCCCGACGGGTGGCAGAGGGGTCCTGGAAAGGGCATGGAGCAGCTCCCTGTCCTTCTCCTCATCCCCGGTGTCACTTTGTCACACCGCTTCAGGGGCCTTCGCCAGCAGGATGGGGAGCAGGTTGCCGCTGGCACATCCCGGCTCCACAGGGACCAAGGAGCACCCCAGCGCCCTGCTTGGCTGTGCAGAGGGACAGGATGGGGGACACGGTGTCCCCAGCACCCACCTGTCCCCATGGGGATGGCACATGCCAGCCCCCAGCAGCTCCTGCCCATAAAGCCACTATTGTCACCGGGGGCACGTGTGGGGTGGGGAAACCCCCCGTCGAGGGGCGGTGAATCCCTCAAGCCCTCCCCTCTCCAGCATTTTGCATTCCCACCGCTCCCTTCCCTCTCCGCACAGCTGTGCCCGGCCACAATGGCCCCTTCTTGCCGCGTCACCGGCGCCGGCTGCGCTCCCTCGGCCCCTTCCCCAGCCCCGAGGCCACCCCGCTGGCAGCCCAGGCGGAAAAATTCATCCCAGGCAAGAAAAAAATCCGTCCTGGCAGGCGCCGGCTCCAGAGGAGGAGAACGGCGAGCAGGGGCAGAGCTGCTGACCGGTTATCCCAGCCATGCTCCAGGATTTTTAGCTGGATGGAAGGAAAGGCAGGGGGTGGAGATGTTACTTAGGGGTGCTGGCGGCACCCAGAGGGTGGCTGGTGAGACCATGGGACTGTCCTAAAGGAGAGGGGATGGGCAGTGGTTGTGGCATGGCCACCCAGCTCCTGAATCCTGGGATTGTGTTCCTGATCAGGTTCATCAAGGAGGAGGAAAAAAAAAACAGGCAGAGCTGGGCACTGGCACCAGAATCCTGGTGGCATCCCAGTGGCATCGGTGTCACTAGTGCAGGCAGGAGGACCCAGGGTGATAATGGGGAACAGATAATTCAAGGTGCTCCAGGGATTTGCTGCTCCTCAGGCTCCCAGACCCAGGGAAGGGTGAACCCCACAGGGATGGGGTGGAAATGGAGGCCCAGGACCTACCGAGCTGGGGGGATGACACTGAGGGTGCTTGGTCACAGGGTGGGGACGTCTTTGGGGTGGCAGGTGCAGCCCAGTGAAGACTGATGGGTCTGGCTGCTTATGAGTGTCCCCAGGGTGGAACAGGACACACCATGAGCTGCACCCAACATCACCTTGTCACCGCACACTGGGGGACACTGGGGCTGGTGCCTGGCTCAGAGATTTAACCTCTCTGCTCCTGGTCCTCCTCCAGGGCAAAGGGGTTTCGTGGGTCTCCAGGGCCACATGCCAGAGCAGAGCAGGCCCCTGCCACCCTCCTGGGCACCCCCCCCTGCACATCTGGCCCCGTGCCACAGCTGGAGCGGGCGCCTTCTGCCTCTGTTTGTTCACAGCGAGCGCCGAGGCTCGTGAGTTAATTAAAGCTCGATCGAAACCATCGTCAGGCAGTGCCGCTCCTCGAGAGGCTGCGAGCGCTCCCATCCCCCGGGAAGGGATGGAGGAGGATGCTCAGGATGCTCCCGGGGGAGAGAGAGACACTCTGGGGAAGGAGTTGTTGTGATTACCCTTCCCGGGAGGAGGCAAAACTCCAACCCCGTCTTGGGGACAGCGCGTGTGGTGCCGCGTCACCGCCTGAGCGTGACCCGCTTACCCAGCGCTCAGCTGAGCCCTGGCTGCTTAATTTGGGGCTGGGGGCTGCTGGGGGGTAGGGAGGGAGGCCGTTCCAGACCGAACCGAATGCAGGGCCCCGGGGGCTCTCCGACCACGCCGGCCGGGACAAAAGGGAATGTAGGTTAAGCACAAAGTGCTGCGGAGCCCGAGGGGGGACCAGGACAGGCGCCCACCACTGCAATTAGCTGATTGCTCCGTGTTCCCTCGCGGGGGGGGGAGGACGAGGGGGATGCTGTTACTGCTCCCCGCTGCACTCTCCGTCTGAGAAAGCTGCCCCAGGGGCACCGTGCCCCCCTGCGTGCCCCCCTGTGCTCTGCACGGAGCTGGAGGAGGGGGAGCCACCGCTGGGGACAGTGGGGATGACACTCTCTTGGCACCAAGGGTGGATCTGGTTTTTCCCCCATATTGGGGGTACCCAAGTCATCGAGAGGGAGCCAGAAACGTCCCACTCAGATGGTGCTCGAGGAGAGTGTGGGAGCCTGTGACATCACCAGGAGTCTGAGTGAAAAATGGCATCAGAGAGGGGCACTGTGTCACCTTGTGAGGCAGAGGGACCCCCAGGCTGTTGGGTGGTGGCAGCAAGGATGGGGTGGGCAGACAGGATGCTGCTGACATCATCAGGCTGATCCATGACATCAGCTGCTGGCAGTGAGGAGGGGCAGAGAGAGGGGTCTGGGCAGTCTGTGCAGGGGGTGAGAAGGAGGAGGAGGAGGAGGAGGATGGTCCCACAGAGCGATGTTCCCAGCTCATGGCTGCAGAGCTTGTCCTTGTGCTGGTGACATATTGACTTGCAATTCTTAATCAAGTGGATTATTAATTAGCAGCAGAGCCGGCTGGTTAATCCTGGGCCTGGCTGGGAGCTGGTGGTTTGTGCTGACAGAG